AATCTTTTGCAGCTGCGAGCACCGCATGGGGGACGAGACGGAAACGTGGGGCGAACTAATTCTGAGCAGCATTAGGCACTGCCTCTGTCCACGCAGGCTTGAGTCGGGCCTGTCCCTCTACAGGGGGAAATTCAAAAATAGTTTAAACAATATTCAGGGGACTATTTTTTGACCAGTTTTGAGAATTTTTAGAGTATTTCCCTGCCTAGGCTCTGCCTAGAAGGGTTCTTACTCGGTATGCTTAAAGGGCCGGGCAGTGTAACTCGCCCCGGGCGGTTCCCCCAGTATCCGCCCCGCGGTTCCCCCAGTGACGTTCCCTTAGCTTAGCGTTGCTCATCTCATCTTAGCTTAGCTTATTTCATCTTAGCTTAGCTTCATCTTAGCTTAACTTAGCTTCACATAGATGTTGCTTTCCTAGAGCCTCCAACTCCTAGGCAGGGTCGCACCGGGATGAATTTTGAATCTTTTTGATTTTTCGCCCCAAATCCCCCTGTAGGGGGGCAGGCCCGACCTAAAGCAGGGAAGACGAGGAGCGCGGGGCGGCGCGGGCCGGAGGCGGCGGGCGGAGCGGGAGGAGCGCCCAGCACAGCGGGGGGCTTTCGGGGGCGCTCCCCTGTTGGAGCCACGGGGCGTGCGAGGGCTATGATGTTTCGGGGGTGGACAGAACCCCCAACAGTGACACGTCGATTAGTGAATCGTCCGTTTTCGGTTCTCGAGAGGGCGCCGTGGCCGTGATTCTCCAGGCCTGCGCCCGCCAGGTTTGGGCCTCAGGTCGTTTTTCACTAAACCACGTTTTGCTAAAGGGGGGTCTGTCCATCCCCGAATGTTCCAGCCTGCTCTTCGGCGGCGAGCGAAGGGGGGAAGTGAGAAGGAGAAGGCCTTCTCAGAAGGCGGCGGGACTTCTCCTCGGAGGTCCTCGCGCCTTCTGAGAAGCTTTTTCTGTCTTCGGGGAAGGCTCAGGAAACTTCTCACAAGGCCGGGGGGCTTCGGAGCCTTCTGAGAAGGCCCTTCTCCATTCCCCCCCAGGCGCGCCGCCTAATTTTAGCCTTGACCGCCAGAAAGAACTTCGAGACCCCCCAAAAAAGCACCAAAACTCGAGGGTTTTCACGCATCGGGCCCTGGGCGGCACTCGTCCGACACTGTTTCGACACCGTTTCGGCGCTTTTCTGGGTGCTCGAACATACTTTTGGGATGTGGTCCTAAAGTCGGATGGGAGCAACATAATGCGAGGGGTGTGCCAACATGAGCCCGACTCCGCATGCGGGCGCTGCCACTGGGGCCTTCGGCGGAGCTCCCATGGGGCCAGAGTCGGTCAGAACCGTGCCTGGGACGGCACATCGGTTGCAGTGCGCGGCTGCTGCACGCACTGTCTCTGGCATAAGGCAGTCAAAACGGCGTGGTCTGAAATAGCCTGGAAGAGAAGTCCATACGACAGTATGTAACCTGACATGTTCTCCGCCAGAGGGGAGGAGGGGGGAGGGGCAGGAGGAGGGGCGAGGACGGGGGAGGGGAGAGAATGTGGTCCTCAGAACTTGCATGCGAGGCGGTCAAAGACATAAATACTTGTGCACGGCCTTCCGCCGTGCTTCGCCCTGGACAGCTGATCGTCCGTGGACATGCGTAATCGTTTGCGGGTGCGCGTGCGTGACGCTGACCCGCTGTAGTCTCGGGCGGCCTCGCCCTCGCTGGCCATGGTCTGCCATAGCTGAACTTCCGGTCGGGAATACGTAGGAAAATGGTAAATTTGTGTCAGATGCCGATGCCAGCTTGTCAACATACACCAGCTGATTATAAAGATCACGTACGCTTACCTTGTGTTGGCGCGGCATGTTCCTCGCCGCCTCGTTGCCGACCCGGGATTTCATCGAGTGCGGGACGCCAAGTATCTTGCGCAGACATTGTGCTTGGACAGCGCCGATTGTGTCCCTGTCCGCCTGGCGCAAGCACAGTGTCTCCAGACTGGATGTTACATTCGTCACCGCGCATGTTTTGAATAGGTACACCCTCCTCTGCCTCGTGATGTTGGCGTGCTTCCATACACTCTTCAAAGACTCGAGTGCCCCGAGCGCTGCCCCGACCCCCCGGGCGATCGAGGGTCCAGTGTTTTTCCACCTTCCCGTAGGAGGCTTCCAAGGTACACCGCCGAACTCACGACCTTCATGGGCGCTCCCTGCGGCGTGAAGATGTCTCCTCCTCCTCCTCCTCCTCCTCCTCCTCCTCATCCGCCCTCCTCCTCCCTCCTCCCTCCTCCTCCTCCTCCTCCTCCTCATCCGCCCTCCTCCTCCCCCCTCCTCCTCCTCCTCCTCCTTCTCATCCTCCTCCTCCTCCTCCTCCTCCTCCTCCTCCTCCTCCTCCTCCTCCTCCTCCTCCTCCTCCTCCCCCCAGTTGGGCTCCAGGCCGTACGTCTGAACTCGCACGATTCGTTGGTCTGGCGAGTATTGTAAACGCTGGATGTCGTTGGAGAGCAGGGCCGTGCCATCTGCATGCGCAACGTCGGCGCACTGCGTTCCCGAGGGGGGGTCGCTGAGCTTCTCAAGCACAACCTTTTCTACGTCGTTCATCAAAGCGCTCAGCAGGATGATAAACAGATGTGGATTCCATGTCCTTGTCCTTGGATTGTTTTTGTTTTGGCTATCCTTGTTTTTGAGTTCTAAAGTACTCCGTCGTATATTGTGCTGGTCATGTCGATGCAGGGGTCTGGGATTCCAAAGCAGGACAACGAGATCAGTAGAGCGGAGTGATCCACCTTGTCGAACGTTTTTGTCCAGTCCAGAAGTACTTCAGATGCTTTGCCATATTTGGAGGCCCACGGGTTCTCGATTAACCTCTGCAGGATAAAGACGGCGTCCATTGGTGCCGCGTTAGCTCCGGAATCTGAATCGGCTGGGTCCGAGTCGGTCTTCCACGCATCCGTCTGCGAGCCTGTTGAGAAGCAGAGACGCCAACATTTTATATCCGACATGAAGCAACGAACTTGGCCTGAAATTCTACGGCAAGGATTCGTGCCTTTTCTTGAAGATGGCGGTGGATCGGCTGTGCCGCCACTCCTGTGGCATCGTTTTGCCTTGCCAGCAGTTGTTCAAGAGGCCCAGCAGGATGTTGCAGGCTTCTGCGCTCTTGCGCAACACCGTCCAAAAGTCTGGGCCCGGCCGCTTTACCCGATTTCAGCTTGCGCAATACCCCGTCCAGCTTGGCCCCGGAGAATCCCTCGAGTGGAAGCTGCAGTTGACTTGTTAAGTCTTCGCCCGTGTGTCGAATGGCGACCACTGAGAGGCTCCGACCACCGAACCTCGGAGAAGAGGGTGGCCAAAGTCTGAGTTCTTCGGCCGCTTTCCACGAGGTCCCCGCCTCGATTTCGGACCCTGCCTTTGGGACCTGCGCCCCCTCTTCTTCAACTGTCCGAGGCCTTCCCAGTTCCCGTGGGCCACGACGCCGTCCCGCCGGGCCGCCCCGTCGCCTCGCGCCGCCTGCCGGACTTGCCCCGACAGCCCCTCTGCCAGGCTGCGCTGGCGCTCGGTCCTGGCCCGGTCCCGAAGCTCGATGAGAGCCCAGGTGCCGGGCCCTCCTCTCCTGAGGGTGAAAGGCTGCGTGGATTTTTTGACTGGTCTCCACTTATCGCGCGTTGAAGGAAGCCGATTCGCGCGCTGATTATTTTGAGTTTCTAGACGCAGGCACCTGGCAGGTGCCTCGCCGGACCCACGGCCTCCTCGCCTCGACCTTGCCTCGCGCCGAGCGAGGCCTCCGCGGCCTGCTCCGCCGTGCAGGCTGCGGCGCGCCCCGCAGGCCGGCCCCCAGGCTGCAGGCGGGCGCCGTGGGGCCGGCTTCGGGGGCCCCCAGGCGGTGCGGTGACCACACCGCGCGGTGAGTCGGTGGGGATTCGGGGTCACCGCACGGTCCTGGGGCTCGAGTCCCTCTCCGAGGATGTCTCGGGCGACAGGGGCCTCCGGGGTCCCAAGACCGTGCGGTGACGGACCGTGCGGTGAGGTCTCTTGGGGTTCCGATGTCACCGCACGGTCTGTCACCGCACCGTTTCGGGACTCCAAATTGCTGCGGTAATCGTCTCACGGAAGGCTGCCGCGACCCCAGCTCTTTGCAAGGACCTCGGATCGCGAGCCTGCCCGCGACTCTTCGGCCGGACCTTCTGGACTCCAAATGTCTGAATCGGCAGAATCCAGAAAATGATGAGAACCAAGAGGAATCGATCTGTCTGACGAGACACGTCGGACGACATGCTGCCTTTCCTGGTGTATGACGAAGTTGTCAATTTATGCGAATTTCTTGGGGGTCGGCTCGCTCGTCGGGTCCGTGCCCAGGTCGTAGTACGTGATTATTTCAGCGACGGGCCTGTCCAAGAACGTGTTGGCAACGACCATTCCGACTGCCACGCGCCAGTTTGCTAGCATATGCTGGTTCTGAGTGGCGTCGTGCGTGCTCTGCGGGTCACCGAAAGCGAAGGGGCCAACCACATCGACCTCCTCGCAGAAGCGCGGGTTGAACCGACCATACGTGTCGTCAAATATTACAACGGGCCCGTGCGTTTTGCGTTTGCTGACGGCCTCGTGCAGCGCACTGAAAAATGTGTCCCGGATCTCAGACTCTAAAGCTGATTGCGGTGCGCACGGCGAGATCAGGCACATCGTGCTGCTGGGAATCCGCAGGTTCAGCGTCGCAATGCGGTTGCTGATCTGTGCGAAGGATATCGCTGAGTGCCGGAGCAATGGCGCAATCGCTTGGCCGACTCTTGCGTATGTCCTCTCGCTTGGAGGGCCTCCAGACACAATGACAATTCTTCCCTCGTGTACAACATATAGCGCTCCTGGTATACGTGTTTCCTGCATACATAGAACACCAATGTCCTTCTTTCGCGTAATCGTGCAAATCTGCTCCAGCTTCGTGGAGTCAGCGTCAACACCTAGAGCCTCAACGGTTCAAGACGCCATGCGGCACACTTTGCTTGGTCGTCGAGGCTGCGGGTGTTCATAGTGACCTGGTTTGCCTCGCCGCGGTACAAATTCGTGAGACGTGCAATGAACATGATGCTAATGGATTGGTTACCAGCATCACCATGGCGTGAAACAAAGCGTGGTGAAACTCCGATGTGCCTTCGTATTTCCTACTCGCCGCGGCCGTTGCCGCCACGAGTCGCTTACGGCATCTGGTTGCCGCTCTTCGCGTTGCCCTTGTTGCCCTTGCCCTTCCCGTCGTGACTGCTCTTTTCGGTCCTGTCTTCCCCGTGCCCTTGGACGGGTGGCTCGCGAGCTTGCCAGAAAGTTTGTCAAGAAGGTTGGAAACGTCATGGTGCCCGAGATTTGTAAGCCACTCCTTCGAGCCAGTGACGTATTTCACCTTGAGCCCCCCATTCTCGATGACGGCATGCGCTGCGATGTCGGCGCCTGATCAACATCTTGCCTTCTTCCAGGTCTGCCCAGACGGCTTTCGCCTCATACCCCCATTGTTTGAGGAGGTATCTCTTGCCAACACACAAAGGAGAAAAGCACACGTTGGGGAAGGTGTTGGTCAGGCTTCGCCCACACGGGATTACCCCCTTCTTTGAAAGCAGCTCTACGGAACATCTTGACAGCTTCATCCCAGCCACCATTCGGGGCGAACTCGACGAACGCAGTCCCATGGAACTCGCCCTTGGCGTGAGGGGTGTGCCAACATGGACCCGAATCCTCATGCGGGCGCTGCCACTGGGACCTTGCCCGAATCCGCAGGCGGGCGTTGCCCTTTGGGGCCTTCGACGGAGCTCCCCATGGGGCCACGAAGCGTGTGAGCGGAGCTCCCCGTGGAGCCACGACACGTGTGAGGAGCGTGCCTACATGGGCTCGAATCCGCATGCGGGCGCTGCCACTTTGACGGAGCTCCCCATGGGGCCACGAAGCGTGCGAGGGGTGTGCCAAGATGGACCCGGATCCTCGTGCGGGCGCTGCCACAGTGACCTTCGGCGGAGCTCCCCATGAGGTCACGAAGCGCGTGGGGGGGTGTGCCAGCATGGGCCCGGGTCCGCATGCGGGCGCTGCCACGGGGGCCTTCGGCGGAGCTCCCCATGAGGTCACGAAGCGTTTGAGGGGTGTACCAGCATGGGCCCGAGTCCGCATGCGGGCAACGCCACTGTGACCTTGCCCGAATCCGCGTGCACAGGGCTCGACGGAAGCTGCGGGCTGGATTGCCCGATGATGGGGATGATCGCCGATCCGATGTGTCTACAAGAAGCCGTCCTGGAAAGACCCGTCATCGGGATCGGCAGGAAGAGAGGTCCATCGAATATGCTCCAGGCGTTGCATCTCTTTCACAACGGGCGTCTTCGCTCGGCTTCGGGCCCCGGGACCCTCACAGGTCGAGCTGGCTTGGAACATGGCGCAGAAAGATGGTGTCTACACAGGCGGCCCAGATTACTAGGTCGACCCTGCCAGCTCAAGGGTACCCTTGTGTCTAGGCCTCCCAGATGGCGGTGGGACTCGCGAGGGCGGCCTGCAGGCTAGGTTCTGCCAGGGCGCATCGCAAGGACGAGCAACCTTCTGAGGCGGCCTTGCCCCTTCGGCCCGTCCTCCTCTTGGCCACCGCTTTCGCTGGCCGCGCCCCGCTCGAAGGGTGCCGTGGTCCGCGAGGGGCACGAGCTGTGCGCGAGCAGGGCGAGGGCGCCAGGGGGGGGGGCGTGGCGAGGGGAGTCCGCCGTGCGGTGCCGTCGAGGCAGGGCTCCTGGCTGGGGTCGGGCCGCACCTGGCCCCGGCGGATCCTGTGAAGAAGAAGGTGGCGGCTTCGGCGTAGACGCACACTGCTCGTGCCTCATTCTTCGAGCGTTCCTCGATTTTTTGGGGGGGCCGGGCTCCGGTCATGTCTGATTTTTCTATCCTGGGCCTCTTCCTGGCCCTTGGGGGGCAAGGAACGATTAGAAACGAGCACAATTATCAGGAGGGGAAAAAACACACACAGACACAATTAATCGTCGACCCAAAGACAAATATCGGAAAACATGGGAAGTGGGGGGGAAGACAAAAACCGAGAAAACATGGGGAAATGTGGAGAATCCCGTTATTTGTGTGTATTTACTTGTGTGTCCCAGGGCCCCTTCAAATTAGAAATGCGCACGAGGAGACATGCACGACGTGTACGCTCGGGGCCCGCGCGGCCTTTTCGAGCCTGCGCCGGGTCCCCTGGGCGGCGCCTCCGACGCCGCCCCCGGCGCGCTCCTGCGCGCCAGGCAGGAGAGGGGCCCGGCGCAGCGCCGACCTGATACTCAGGAGGGAAAAAACACACAGAGACAGAATCCATCGTCGATTCCCCAGATGACATGGGAACATATGGGAGGGGGGGGGGGAAGACGAGAGCCCCAGAAAATATGGGAAGACATGGGGCGCCCTGCTATTTTTTTTTTGTTGTGTGTGTGTGTGTGTGTGTTTAGTTGTGTGTCCCAGGGCCCCTTCGGATACGTCCGCGCGGAACTCCGAAAGCTTGCGTCCAGGCGTCTCTCCTGCCTCCTCCGTTCTCGCTCGGGCAGCACCTGGCCCCCGATCCTGACCTCGGGCCGCCCGCAGTTTATGCGAAGGATTGCACAAAAAAAACCCCTTGAACGAAGGATTGCACAAAAAAAACCCGTTCAAAAGGGTTTTTTTTGTGCAATCCTTCGTTCAAAAGGGGTTTTTTTGTGCAATCCTTCGTTTTGTGCAATCCTTCGGTCACCAGCCACAGGGAAAGCGAGGAGGCGCAACAGTGGATCAGCGACGCGTGGACCAGCGACGGGTCCCGCTTCCGCACAGAGTCGGCGCTCTCCGTCGCCGGAGCAGGGCGGGGCTGGCCCCAGGGTTCGGGGGGGCATTTTGCTCGATCCGTGGATCTGGAGCCCACGCTCCAAGCCCACGGATCCTTGATTCGGCGGCGAGCGAGGGGGGGAAGTGGGAAGGAGGAGGCTTCCTCAGGAGGCGGCGGGACCTCTCAGGAGCCCTCGCGCCTTCTGAGAAGTCTTCTGTGTCTCCAGGGAAGGCTTAGAAAACTTCTCAGAAGGCCGGGGGACTTCCGAGCCTTCTGAGAAGGTCTTCTCCTTCTCACTTCCCCCCTGGCTCGCCGCCGATTAATCCACGTCCGCGTGTTCCCGAGGAAAAGGCTGGCACACGGTCCAATTTCCTCCAGCCGGATTCGGGCGACCCCTTCTACCCGGCAGAGATGGATGGGATTGTCTACGACTCCTTCCCTCTGCGCGTGGTCTTCGACAGGGACAAGACAGGCTTCGAGGACACCAAGGAGTTCCCTGTGAAAGCCAACGGTATCATTGCGGCCCGGTACCAGGTAAGCGAGGGAAGATCGGGGGCGGAAAAGAGGGGGGTGATGACTAGGGGGGGGTGGATATCATGGCGGGGGCCATGATATCTCCTCAGATTTCATGGCGCCTCTTCTTGTTTCGTTACGTTCCTGGCCCCCCCGCTGGGCCGCGCACATGCCGCCGGTCATGATTTGCACCCCCCCCTCTTGGACACCCCCTTCTTGGCCGCTCCCGAGAAGGAAACGAGGTCGGCTTCGCGGACACTGCACGAGGTCGCGCGTAAGCGCCCTCGCCTCCGTTGCGGCGTGCCGCGCCGGCGGGCCGCGAAGGCCGCCGCGCAGGGTCGCCCTGGCATCCCGCGCAGGGCCCGTTATACAGTGGAGACTCATGCCAAGAAACACCCTGCTCGCCTCCGGGGTTATGTCGGGCGTGTCCCCCTACAGGGGGATTTTCGACGACAAATAACAAATACCCCCAACAATAATTCCGAAAGGTCAACAAATACTCAAAAAATTGTCCCAGACTATTTTTGGACTATGTTTTTATTATTTTTGGGGCATTTCTTATTTTCCGTCGAAGATCCCCTTGCAGGGGGACACGCCCGACATAACTCCAGGGAGCCTGGGGTTCCTTGGGTTTCGATGGCTCTGCTGTGGAAGGCGCGAAGTTCCCACACGCCAGAAGTCAGTGGACGCCCCGGGCTCTCGGGGTTGGGTTTCTCGTGGAAGGCTTGTTGTGCTTTCGTCGCTCAGGTGCAGGAGGTCGTCGGCGCTGCCGTCTTCTCGCGCGCGGTCCAGTGCTTGGACTTGCACACGAACCGCATGGTGTGCATGAAGGTTATCTCACGGGCTGCGCCCTTGGCCGCCGGCTCCCCAGGCGCGACCGTCTTCGGAGTGCTTTAGGACCATCCCCACCAGGCCACCACGATCCCACCATCCCCCTCTTCCTCCTCCTCTTCTTCCTCCCTGTGCTCCTCCTCCTTCTGGCAGCCGGCGCCCCCTGACCGGCCCCTTGATGCTCGCGAGGAGCAGGTTTTTTATTTCCGCCCCACGATCCCACCATCCCAGTCGGAGATGGGCTCCTCGAGTCCCAAAGGGAACAGCGTATATCCGCATTTGGGGTAAATCTGTCAGTGGGGCCCAGGCCGCGCCAGTGGGCATATGGATCGGTTAAACCGTGCTAATTTACTTGTAGGGCTATGGAGGAGCCTCTTCTTGGGGGCATCTTGGGGCGCTTTTGGGCTATCTCCGGCAATATCGAGGCTGCCTTGGGGCCTCTGGTGTCCAACTTGGTGTAGTGCCGATTTCTGGCCTTGTTGGACCATTTTGTGCGATGTTGGTGGCATCTTGGGCATCAGGGTTCCACCTCGGGGTCATCCCGATGAATATTGGAGCCAATTTGGGCGGCGTCTTGAGGTTCTGCTGGGAGCAGAACAGACAACACAAATTATGTATGCTTCCGTGTTCTAACACGAGAATGGATCCGTTCACTCAGCCCGATGCCTGTGGCCATTTGGGGTCAGGCGTTCGGCTGATTTTGAACAGCGGTTGGGCGCAGATGCTGGCCCTGGGGCCGTGCGCCCTCGACGCCGCGCGGCGGGGGTCCGCAAGGTGCTTCATGAGTACGATTTCCTCGGCCCGCGCCTGGCGCTTCAGGGCGACGAAGCCGAGTTCGAGGGAACGCTCGTGCTGGTGGCGGCGGGCGCGGGCTTCAACGTGGGAAAGGCGCGGCGGCCGTTAAGGGAATTCCTGGACCAGGCAGTAGTCGAGGAGCCAGTGCAGACGCGGCAGAGGGCGTGCCACGGTTGCCGCGAGTGGGACATGCTGGAAAACGCCGCGGCGTGCCTGAGGGTGGCGGCCAGCTGGGGAACGCCCGAGGCCCCGCCGCCACCGGGGCCCGCTCGATGACAGGGGCCCGCTTCGCTCGGAGGTGCCACGCGGCTGCAGAGGAAGGCCGTGGCGGACTGGAGGCGCTGGAGTGGGCTCGGTGGAAACCTCGCCTGGTCGCGCTGCTCGAGGAGGTGGGAGCACCCTCGCTTGAGACGGTGTGTTCCTGCATGGACCCGGAGTGGTCGAAGGGCGGCATCACGGGCCCCGCGCGCATTAACGCGGTGAGGTCGTGCGTGACGGCCATGGTGATGATGCGCATATGGCTCCGGCGCTTTCGCGGGGTCCTGTGGCCCGTGGCGATCATGCTCTTCCTCGACTGCGTGCGTGACAAGGTCGCCCAGCCGTGGATCGACGGTGCCCAACCAAGCCTTGCGTATCATGGCGTTGACAGAGCACGTGGCGGGCATGGACCCGATCGGCAGACTCTCCTCTCGACCCGAGGCCCAACAGGTCGTCGTGGACGTGGAGATGCTTTCGGTGCGGGCGAGGGCCGCCGGCGATGGCAGCACGGTTCCCCAGCGCTTTCATCGAGGCCATGGAGCGGTTGGTCATGGACGGGGGCTCCGCGCGGCACGTGCGCGGGGTGGCGTTGCTGTGCCTCGTCGCGGCGTGGGCGGAGCTGCGCTGCTACGACGGCAGCTGGCTCCCGCCGCTGCGCTTGGCCATCGTGGACGGTGGGCTGACGGCACGGTGGGGGGCGCGAAGACTTAGCGGAGCGGGGCGCACGGTGCCAGATCTGTCGCATGCTACATTGTGGGTCCAGCTTGGATACAGACGGGCTTCGACCTGTGGCGGGAGATCTCGGGAGGGGCCACATTCTGCCGCAGTGCGACGACGCGGGGCGCGAGGTCCGCAAGCCCGCCGGGAGCGCGCGGGCAGCGGTGGCGGGCCAGGGGGCGCCCCGGAGGTTCTGAGGCCAGCGGCCTGTGCCAGCGAAGAGGTCGAGCTCCCCATCCCCGAGGAGGTCGTGAGCTTCTGGGCAGAGTGCTCGGGGCGGGCGACGATCCCTGATGTGGATCCCGAAGAGCGGGCGCGACTGCCTGGGTAGGTGGTCGAAGTCGGCGCCGTCCACGTGGGCGAGATGGCGTCTGGCCTGGGGTGCTTGGGATTCGCGGCAATGGTGCTTTTCTGGGAGAGGCCGCTCCTGGGGTCTGCGCCTTGCTCGCCAGCGTCGTGGGGGCAGACGGGGGGAGGGGCCTCCCGCCGCGGGCGACCTGGCGCGTCTTGACGTGCGTCGGCAAGCGATTGGAAAGCGGGCAAAGGTGAGAGGCGCCACTTCAACACCGAGAACGCCAGACACTTCCGGTCGGTCGGGCGCGGCGGCGGATGGAGGGCGTTGCTAGATGGGCGGCCGGGGCGCGCTGCCGAGCGGCAGCGCGCGAGGAGCTCGTCGGCGTGCGCTGGGGGAGAAGAAGCGGCCCTCTGGGCGAGGGCCAAGGCAGACGACCCGAACAGGGTCATCGCGGCACTGGAGCTTCTTGGCGCGACCCGGTGCGCGAAGCTGTTCTCGAGACCCATGGGGGCTCTGCCAAAGGGCGTGCCTCGAGGTGGCGGCGTCGACGGACAACCTCGGAAACGCCTGCGCGGCGCGCGGGGCCGCGTCGACCGAACGGCCGTGGACGGTCCTCCACGTCGTGCTTTCGGAGGAGCCGATGTCGCGCAAGCTTGCGCTGAGCCTGGACTGGCTACCGCGCGATGAGAACTGGGAGGCTGACGACCCCGGCATAGCGGGGGTGACAGGCTTCGGCGGGCCCCTCAGCATGCGCGTGGCGGTCGCGGGCTTGAAGTGGCGCGCGCTCGACGAGATGATGCGGGCCTCGCAGGAACTTTGCGAGTCGATCGTCGAGGAGAGGGCGGTCGCTGCGGGCAGGGCGCCCGTGGCTGGGCGCTGCCAGGGGGGTCGCTGGCGCGTGCGCCTCGCGCCGCGCTGACGGCCCCGCCCAGCGCGTCTCGAATGGCGACGCGCGGGGGGGGGGGGGCGCAGGTGGCCGCGGCGGCGGGCGGGGCCCCGCGCGATTCGGGGCGGGAGCCCACTGCGATTCGGGGCGGGGGCCCAGTGCGAGGACTTATGGCGCGATTGCAGGATAATATTTGAACTCCGCCTTGTGGTGGGCGCCTCGTCGGGGAGCCCTCCTCCTCGCCTCTGGGCCCTCCGCCTTTCCGCCGCGGCGGCGGGGGGGCTCGTGGGCGGGCGGGGCGCCGCCCGCCGCGGATGGCCGCAGAGAGGGTGGGCAGGGTTTTGAGACCGCGCCCGCGCACCCTTTCGCGCGGGCGCGGCGCGGTGGGGCGGGGGGGCAGCGCCTGACAGACGGGGCGAGGTGCGCGAGGTGTGGGGGTGGACCTCGAAGCTC